TATTTTATTAATTTTATTTAACATACGGCAGTTCGTAAGTATAAAGAAAATTTAGTTATCTAAGTATTTAAAATAAGTTATTCAATATTTACTATATAATTTAATTTTATTCGTATTAATTTAGTTTGTGAGTAGAACATTTATTAATCTAAGTGTTTAAAATAATCTATTTAAAGTTTACTATTTAATTTTATTTAACACTGCAGTTAGTGAGTATAAAAAATATTTATTAATTTAATTATTTGCAATAAGCTATTCAATTTCATAAATGTTTACTATTTAATTTTCATTTAACATATTGCAGTGAGTGAGTATAATGAATATTTATTAAACTAAGTATTTAAAATAACTATTCAAGGTTATGAATACGTATTCACTGTTTAATTTTATTTAGTATGTGAGTATAAAAAACATTTGGAGGAGAGTCAATAAATCGAGCAAATTTTTTATAATAAAATTTTTTTGCAACTTTGAACAAGAATAATTTAACAAAAGCTTAATCAAATTTATGAAAAATTTTTATAAACTTGCGAAATTAATTTAAAAAGATTTTAATAAATTTAATTAAATATTTGTTAAGTTATTCTTGCTTAAAGTTTTAAAAAAACTTATTAAAAAATATTTGCTTGGTTTCTATTAACTCAACTCTATTTATTAAACTAAGTATTTTAAATAAGCTATTCAAGTTCATGAATATTTACTATTTAATTTCGATTAACATACTGCAGTTAGTGAGTATAAAAAACATTTATTAAATTAAGTACATATTAAAAATAAGCTATTCAAGTTCATGAATATTTACCATTTAATTTCATTTCAGCGTGTTAGTATAAAAAACACTTGTTAAGTATTTAAAATAAGCTATTCAAGTTTATGATTATTTACTATTTACTATTTAATTTAATTTCAGTCGGTGAGTAAAGAAGACATTTATTAATCTAAGCATTTAAAAAAGCTATCCAAGTTCATGAATATTTACTATTTAATTTCATTTCAGTCGGTAAGTATAAAGACATTTATTAATCTAATTATTTTAAAATAAGCTGTTTAAGTTCATTAATATTTATTATTTGATTTCATTTGCATTAATTAGTCGGTAAGCATAAATGATTCGCATTTGAATTTATGAGTGGCATAAATAAAGCGAAACAATCAATATAATGGAATTGATAATTACAGAGATCCTGATTATGGAAAATGTGCACAATGTAATGAATATAACACGAATGTTGTATGGTGCCAGACATGCGATCCTGACATAGCAATTCAAGGATGGACAAGTGGAAATAAGGATATTGATAATTGCATGAAAGAATTTCAACTTAGAACTTATGATTATGAACATATGATTGAGTGGATTCCATTCCATAAACTAGTAAATATTGAAAAAATTGGTGAAGGTGCATTTGGTTCTGTATTTTCTGCAACCTGGTTGGATGGTATACGAAAGATTAAAAACTCTGACGTCAATAACTATTTTTATGAGAGATCCCGTGAACCATCTAGCACAGTTGCACTTAAGACATTGTCTGGTTATAAGGATAATCCTCAAGATTTTTTAAAAGAAGTAAGTTAATCAATTATTATTGGGTTAATTATACGCATATTGAACTGATTATATACACGTATACAGTTTGACAATCATATGAAATGTACAGTTATGGGTAGCAAGCTTAAAATCTATGGTTTAACACAAAATACAGAAACGAATGAACACTTTATGGTATTTCAATACGCTGATAATGGAAGCCTTCACAAATTTTTAAGAAAAAACTTTCGTGATCTTACTTGGAAAACTAAATTAAAACTACTTGAAGACATTGCTGAAGATTTAATAGAAATCCATAATGCAGGATATATTCATGCAGATTTTCACAGTGGCAATATTTTACAGGATAAAAGCATTGGTGAAAATATACGATCTTACATCTCAGATCTAGGTTTGTCTAAAAAGTACAACGAAAGCGATTTAGAAGGTGGTATTTATGGTGTCATGCCTTATGTCGCTCCTGAGGTTTTATTAGGTCAGAAGTTTACAAGAGCTGCTGATATTTACGGCTTTGGAGCCATTATGTCAGAAATGTCAACTGGACAAAGACCTTTTGATGGCTATGAGTTTAATATTGGTCTTGCAATAAACATTTGTAAAGGATTGCGGCCAAGATTTGCACCAGGAACTCCGAATTGTTATATAGAATTTGCTAAACAATGCATGGATGCTGATCCACACGAACGACCTACTGCTAGTGATGTTTATTTAAAGCTTCAAAAATGGAATGAAATCATAGAAAGTTTATATCATGCAAATGAAATTAAAAAGCAATTCTTAGAAGCAGATCAAATAGCTAAAGAATTGCCAATTGTCTTACCAAAACATCCCGACTTCATGTACACTAGCAAAATTATCAATACACAAAGGATATCAGATGCAATTAAAGGTAGTTTTATAAAATTATACTAATTTACTTATTTGATTAAAGCTAATTATGTTATATTAGCAGCTTTAACAAGTCAACCTGTTGCTTCTGTTGAAGTTTCTATTGGTAAGTATCATTAAACTTGCCGCAATTATAATCAAAATTTTATTACTCATCTTATATTGACATTTAGATTAATTATTTTAAAAATATAAATTTATTTATTGATAAATAATTTTGATTGTATAAGTTCGATTTTTGTTAAATGCTATTAAAATAAATATATACAAATAAAAATATATATATTTGAAATTTGTTAAAAAATTTATAGTTAAGATTTTTACTAATACAGTCAGACCTCTCTATAGTCACATTTGCTTATAATCACATATATAACGATAACACTTATACAATTTAACCTCCATATAGGCACAAACTCTATAACCATCAAATTCTAATATATTCAAAATTCTGTAGTGGCAGTAATCACATACAATTATTATAGACTCATAAAGAGAACGATAAATGTTACGACTTTTTCCTTGGCAACATTCATATCAATTATATTTGATTAACTTTGCACGCCGACACATAAAAAATCTTTGTTGATAGATTGACATTTAAATAACTTACTACAATGACACGATTGAAAGCATTTGAAAGAACAAGATATACCATATACACATTCGAATAATATATTTCACTTTTTCGTCATTAAATAGTATCGGAATTTCAGTACCTGCCATGCAATTTACACGACGACATTAAATTTAAGTTTTTTTTTCTTTATTTTTTTGAAAATAAAATATATCATATACACATTCGGATAAAATCTTACAAGATTTTTTTTTTTTTCGCCACTAAGTATCGGAAAATTATAGTATCCTCCTGCATCTTCATTAATCAGTTTTTTCAACCATGCTTAAATTTTCTTTCGTTGAGAAAGGCAACTAAATAAAAAAAATATATTAACATACGAAGATCTATTCATCACAAACATGGGGGCTGCCCACATCTTTCAGTGAAAAGACAAACATGGGGGTTGCCCACATCGTTCAGTTCACCTAGTGACAGCGTAACTTCAATCTCCATACATATTTTAAATAAGAATGGGGGTTACCCACACTCGCCTATGAGAAACATTAAATGTCTTGAGCTCGGTCCTAAAACTCAAGTCTTGAAAGCGCATATATTTATGCCTTTCTTCTAAAATAAAACTATGGTAACCACGACTTATAATTATCGCTTCTATCTGAGCTTTTCTTGAACGATGGCATTTTATTATGACAGTGTTCGGTTCTAATGGAAATAATAAGAATAATAATTACAACTTAGTTGGATTTTTTTTTTTTTGTAGATAAAAAAATTTAAGATTTAAATAATGCAAAAGTTTCACATGACGTAACTTCTTTTCAACGAATACGTATTCAATAAACTACTAATTCTAGAATAGTTCTTTGTACTTGTGTGAGTCTTACATATGGATAATGATAACGGATTGTCGATATCGTAATTGTTGCCATCCATAACATGCAAATTAAAAATAGCATAATCGATATTTTGTTGTAAATACTAAACTGCCAAGGGAAAACCTGTAAATACTATCGACAGAACTCTTATGATACAGATCTCACAACAGCCTGACTTATTAAACAGATCTTAATTCATGGATTTGATATCTTAGACTTGTTCAGAGACCAGTTCGAATCATGTTCTTGTGGACCATAGCACGTAATATCTCTAATTTTACAAAAGAAAAAAAACAAAAACATCTATCTGATCTATGATTTGATCATTAAAATAAAAAACTATTTATACTAGGGCTCTGCAAATGCCCATGCCGGACAAATTGGCACTATGCCAAGCACTAGTGCCTCATGCCATGCCCATACTTATAGGCTCAAAAGTGCTAGGAATTATTATGGGCATGGGCACAAATGTCAGGCATTTTTATAGGCATGGGCACAAATGCCAGGTACTTTATAGGCATAAGCACAATATGCTAGGCAAAAAAGTGTCAAAAAGGTGCCAAAAAGGTGCCAGAAATAACTGTCGAATAGTAAAACAACATATAATTAATTAATAAATACTAAATTTTTGTGCCCATACCCATGCTAAGTTTTTGTATCTGTGTTCATGCCTTACCAAATTTTTGTGCCTATACCAAACTTTTATACCAGTGTTCGTGCCCATGTCAGAGCTTTCATGTTCATGCCCATGCCTGAATTTTTGTTAGGCATGGGCATGAGCCCTGGTTGCAGACCCCTAGTTTATACCCCATGGTACAGGTTAAGTTTTCTCGAACCGCCACAAAAATTCTACCGTCACGTGATGATCGATGGTAAATTAGCAAATAGCGAACCACGATTTGATGTACCGTTACACGATCAGTAAGATCGTGCTCTAATTAAGAATTTTTGCATGATCACGTGACAGTAGAATTTTGTGGCGATGCTGGGTAAGATTACATCAATATCAATTAACACGTGACAATATGTGATTTTCCTTGTTATTTAATACAGTAATAGCGGACTCAAAATCACGAAATCACAAATAAATTTTATAATAATCTGGTCCGTAGATATGTCAAACCTACTTAAACATATTCAAGAAAAAAACGTTAGAAAACTTGCAAAAAAAGCGACACAGGTCCGTAAAAAATTAGCAATTAAATTATTTCCATGCCCATATATATTGATTAATATTCTCATGTTTAGCGTCTGATAAACTTCCTCCCGTGCTTCAAAACCGTAAAACAGCTACTTTGGTCCTCAAAGCTCTAAAGAAAGATCAATATATGCCCGCTCTTGTATTTGAGTGGAATGAAGCAGGTTTCAATGATGTTCTCACTGCTTCAGGTTTTCGAAATGGCATTGCCAGCCAAAATAAGGCTATGATTATCACAAATCTTACGACAAATGGAGCAACAAGCTATAATGATGTTGTATTTACATTTCCAAATGGCAATGGGCTAATCAGATACGCGTAAATATACCGTGGTATGGATAAAGACTGATTTCATGATTTTCAGATTCTTTAACATTAATTCTTCCTTTTTATTTTGTTAAAGGGCATTGCATCAACCAGGCTTCCAGATGTTTGCACTTCAGTCATCAGAATTAACCGAATTACTGAGCGTGATACAGGCACACCCTCAACTGTGTTTGATCTCGAGGACTATACAATTGTCTTTGTCATCCTTAATAATTGATACTGCTAGTATTGCTGGGTTTTGATTTCAAAAAAAAGTCTAATAATTAATTATTATATAACAAAGGGGCGCTTGCCTATGCGTTGGTTGTTTTTTTTTCTTTTTTAGTCGATACGGCCAATCAGATTTTGGGGTCGGGTGTCGCTAGCGAGGTCGGTACCGGTTAATAAAATTCAGGTATAAATCCAGGTTAACTCGATGTCATATTAAATCGGTTTTATGTATTTTGATCCGATTGTAACTCGGTTTTTAAAACTTAAACCCGGTTTGTTTCAAGCATGTTACTAAGTAATATATTTTACTGTGAATCAGTTTAATCGAAGGAATGTTAAAATTCCGCGAGAACAAAGGTAAATGATTTCGGCCAATGTCGATCAATCAACTACATCATAAGATAGCTGCGCAACGTCGTCACGCAAAACCAGGTAAGGGAGACGTGAAGGGTATCAGTATTTAGTAAATATATAGGTTGTGGCACTTAGTGATGCATTTACTAATTTTCATCCACTTTTTCTATTGGTTGAAGGTAAATCTCGTCCATGATTGGATGAATTCGGTGATGTCACTTGATTCTGGCCAATCAGGATAAGTTACGGAAACAAGATCAGGTGTAACGTGAAAATCATCAAAACAATCACTTTTTTTAAAAAAATCTCATTAATCTCAAAATTTCTTTTAAAAAATCCTTTTTTATATATTAACAAAAAAAATTTTTTACAGAATTTGGTATAATTTTGACTACTAATCCTAATGGCAACTCTAATTAAAATATCACTTTTTTTTTTTTTTTTGGTATTAAGGTGACCTCTTTGATCTTTTGACTTTTATTAACAATTTTTTTGGTAATATGATTTTATAAATTATTATAGGAAGAGTGTACAATTAGTTACATATATAATCTAGTAAAATGGATAGATTGTTAACTCTCAAGTGGTAGGTCTAGAGTTCAAATCTCAATGATAGCAAAAATTTGCAATTCTTTTTATGTTATAGTTAATTGTTTTTTGTAATTGGTTGGGATAAGACACTTGTAACCTGTATCATATCAGCATGACTGGAAGATTTAGGCATTTATATAATGTTGTATGAAGGAATACAAATCAGTATTGAGCAGTATGAATCCAAGATAAGTTCTTGAGTTGTATAAATCATGAAAATCAGATAGGAAAACAGAAACCTACTTAGAAGACCTAAATAAAGAAGTAATCTGAACTTTTGACAATATTATTATAAAGATTAGACTTATGAAATGAGGTTAGAATTTATAAAACTAGATACAGAGTTAGTTTTTAAGTAGGGATTGAATGGAATTAAACAGGTTATTGGGATTTGTTTTGGAAGAAAAGGTTACATATTGATAAACATGTTGTTACAAAGTAGATTTTAGCATAGTATATTATTAATAGTCATATATATATATTTATTATTGTATTTATATTTTAT